CAGGGGTGGCCAATCCTGTTCCTGGAGACCCACTTTCCTGCAGATTTCAGTTGCTACCCATATCAAACACACCTGCCTGTAATTATCACGTGGTGTTCAGGTCCTAATTAATCGGTTCAGGTGTGTTTGATATGGTAGCATCTGAAATCGGCAGGAAGGTGGCTCTCCAGGAACAGGGTTGGCCACCCCTGATCTAGCCACTGGTATATGAAAGCTTGGAGACATTACATTGAGGCTTACCTTCGCACAACTTCTGCCTAATAACTTCACGGATCTTTGCGATCGCTTTATAGTCTTTCACAGAAAAAACATAGGTTGAGGATGGCTTGTTGGCGATAGCCCTGAGCTGTGCCTCTTCGGTCTCAGACCCGACTCCAATTGCAAAGAGAATTATCCCCTTTTTCCTCGCAGCTTCCGCAGCTGCCAGCACTTCATCTTGTGACTTCCCGTCCGTCAGAACCACAGCGATTTTCGCAATGCCATTCGGACCTCGCTCAGACAGGGCAAAGAGTTTGTCATTAGCGAACTTGATGGCCCGTCCAGTGTTGGTGTTCCCACCCATGTATTCTATAGACTCCATGGCCTTGATGAGGTCACTGCTCGAGAAGTGTTTACCCAGGGGTATATGCAAGAAGGGGTCGTCGCTGTATTGCACCACCCCAACCTGGGTGAACTTTTGACCGATATTGAAGCTCATGGTGATATTCACCAACCACTTTTTGACAATCTCGAAGTTTATATCATCCACACTCCATGATCCATCGAGTATGAATACTAAGTCACTTGGCGCTGTCCTACAACCTGAAATTGAGGAATGAAGATGAGAGTTTGTAGTGTGTTATTGACCATTTCAGCTGCTCGCTTTATAGGACACATTTGGGATATTCTATTAACTACAGCAGAGGTCAGCAAACCTGTTTCTGGAGGTCCGGTGTCTTGCAAAGATTAGCTCCAGCTAATCAAACACACCTGAGCAAGGAAATCAAGGTTTGCAGGGCTCAACAATAAGGACTGCCCAATGGCCCGGGGCCAGTGTGAGAGACGCTTGGGACAGTAGACGGGATCATTACTGGCCCGATTGGGGCCATCTTTTGTTAAGTAATTTAAAACTGAAATAAAATACCTTCACATTTTCCATACCGCTCTTTTTGTTTTCATTCATTCTCTTGTTGGCTTAGTCCCTTTATTAATCTGGAGTCGCCACAGCGGAATGAACCGCCAACTTATAAAGCAAGTTTTTACACAGCGGATGCCCTTCCAGCCGCAACCCATCTCTGGGAAACATCCACACACTCATTCACACACAAACTCATACACTACGGACAATTTAGCCTACCCAATTCACCTGTACCGCATGTCTTTGGAAACCCACCCGAATGCAGGGAGAACATGCAAACTCCACACAGAAATGCCAACTGAACCGAGGCTCGAACCAGCGACCTTCTTGCTGTAAGGCGACAGCACTACCTATTGCGTTGCCCCTCTTTTTCTTTTGTAAACACATAATTTTGCTCACTATTAAAATTTTAAAAATATTTTTAATATGTGTTATGTATTTTTTTTATATATTTAAGTGGCCTTAAATAATATGTACTTACATAGGTATTAATAGTTTGTTACAATGTACTTATTGTGTAAATACATGTATTTACTGTGTACTTACGCTTGATTAAATACATGTATGTAGTTACATCTGTAGTTAACTTTTGTAATTACATTTGTAAATACACTGTTGACTATCCCTTACACCTTAACCCACCCTTAAACCTACCCATGCCACCAAACCTGTCCATAACCCAACCTCTATCCCAACTCAAAAGCACTACAAGTGTTCTCAAATACATTATAAACACAGTAAGTACATTGTATTTATTTTTTGATGTAAGTACATAGTAGTTAAGGCCACTTAATATAAAGTGGGACCTATATTTTAATATATTTAAATACTTTTTATCATTTTAATAATTATAAACATTATTTTTGACACATTATTTAATATATGTGGCTATAAAATAGCTATTAAATGTATTTATTTATTTTTTTTGGTGGGGGCAGTGAAAATTTTGGCAGGGCAAGTAAAAACTGATCCATTGGCCCGATCGGACCAGTAGAAAAAATCTTTAGCGTTGAACCCTGGTTTGTTACTTGGAATACTTGAAACTCCACGCAGGAGTGTCGAGGCAAGTGTGAGCTAAACTCTGCATTCACACCAGCCCTCCAGGACCGAGATTAGTGACCCCTGACCTACAGTATAGTTTCTATGCCTGTTTTTATCCAAGTATTGACCCTCTGTTGCTAATCGAATCAAATTGACCTGAAGAAGTTGCAGGAATTGTTGCAATTGCTCAGTATTAAGACAGCCACAATGAATATTGGATCATTATTAGGTGATGTTATCCGAGTCAATAGTCTTCATGCAACATACACTAATGAAGATGAGAGAAGCACGCTTACTCAATCTCATGTCCTCATCTTGTGCTGTGCAAAACAAGTGAAGGAGCATGAAGTAAAGACACCAAAACACAAAATGCATGGATCTCATTTTGCAACCCATGTTCTTGAAGTACCAAGCTCCAGTTTAGCACCTAAAGAGAAATGGAGATAAGACATGCATTTCTTAGATGTCTTCACATGAATGCCATTGGATTTGCAGATGTTTAGTTTTTTACAGCTTTGTTAAATGAATGACATGCTTTTTGTAATCAATGTAAACATCTCAACGAAAACAGTTGAGCTGCGGTTTTATTGCATTTTCTGCGTAAGGGTAATGTGGTTAATTTGGTTCATGCTAACAAAGATGGTTGTGCATTTCTAGAAATGGTGTGAAAACCAGAGAATGGAAATTATGGGTTGTTTTTGTGACTGGAATGAGAAAAGGGCACAGTATTATGCAGTTCTCCTCTCTAATATGGACAAAACATAATTAAAACAATCTCTTAATTGTACAGCCGTTCTTTTTAAAGCAACATTCTATCCAATTGGCCGAATGCTGATTACAATAACAAATAAAACATCAGCTTGTCTGTATTTTTTGTTAATTATTGTTGTAATTTATAGTCATGGATTTGTTATTTACTTACTTTGTAGGTGTGAAAATTATTTTATGGTAATAAACACAACCCAGGATCATTCTGAAAAAGTACCTCTATTTACATTTCTGGAGAAATGCCAAATACGTCCCAGGAGCTATGTTTTTTTTGCAGTTTGTTTTCGCGAATCCGCCAGAGCCTGCTGTGTACGCTTTTTAAAATCTCAAATTTCGCTCACGAGTGCCTTTTTTTTTTGCCTACACTTCTCACATAAATCCACCAGAGGCCGCTGTCCAGCGACTGACCCACCTCCTTCCCTAAACCCAGCCAATAGTGTTTTCAAAAGCGCAGATCGACCCACCCAACACCTTCCCTAAAGCCAACCGACAATTTTAAAACAGCAATCCAGAAAAAGAAAAGCCCAGGCCTGATTTTTACCACATTTTCAGATTTTACTACATTCTCATCCTGTTATCTACTTGTTTATTTTTTGGATTCTGTTTCTGTCTTTCCCATTTTCTCGAACCTTGTTGTCGTGGTCAACTCCTCTGCATCTCAAATCCGCCGACTTACATGGCAAGCTAACTGGTCAAACGAAATGCAGCCATACATACTTAAGGCTACATAATTCACGATCTCCAGAAACGTGTATAGGGCTATGTTTTCAGAATGAGCCCGTCTTGAATAAACATTATGCCACAAGTGCTGCTGTTGATTGAGTTTAACTTGCATTGAGCAGAAATTAGTCCCCGTAATTGTTTTTACTTCACAGTCTTACCAAGTAGAATCATGTCATGTTTTGAAAAAGCTCTTCATCTAACTCTGGCTTCTGTTGGAAACTGCGTGCTCTTTCCAGAAAGAGAAAGAAGTGCAGACATTATGAAAAAACACCATATTAAATGAAGACCAGATATGCTCCTTTTGGAAGGGGTTGGGGTGTTTTTTGGCCTACTGATTGATGTGGTCAACCAGAGATTCCCAATGAAAGTTACCGTCCTCGACAGTTGAGAGATCATGAGCATGACTAGAACACGAGTGAAACTTTTATACATCCTTCAGCCTTGGCGAGTTACATGACTGGGGTTTTCCACTCTTTGACCTAAGACAGCCATGGGGAAACTAGTTCTTGCTCCAGTGCTTTGCAAACCCAGCTTGGATTTGCAATCCAAGGGGAGGTATGTGGAACGCTCCATTATTTTCACGAGCATGTCTGCATGCTAAGCACCCAAACCCACGCCCCCCTCCACGCACTGTTCCTCAGAACCAGGGTTTTCCCTCTTCCAGTAATATTGTAGTTCTGGACAGTGACCAAGCTTATGTTCATGTGACAAAGCCAAAGCAACTTTAGACAGGAAAAAAAGGACAGCGCAGAACGAATTTGAATTGACTGTTTTGTAATGCACCATTACTCTCGCGGAATTAATGACCACAGGTCTTGCACAAAAACTGGAAAGACATGCTTGTCTGCCAGTATGTACCTCTAGCCATATGGCTATTCCCAGCACTATGACCTGCTCGTTGACCTTGGAAGTTATTGGGGACCTCCAGACAGTTTATGGTTCCAGTCCTAGGTCAAGATGAAGGAGAAGTAGTGTAGCTGGAATGTGACATGTTTAAACATTGTCTGCTACCAAAAGGAATCGCCCCCCCCTAATCTTAGCCTAATATATCATGAGCATGTATCCTCCAAAACATGACACCGAAAGCTCAGTGGAATTTCAGCATGAGTAATTGATTGTGTTTGTAGTGAAACCTGTTTAAGATTTATTTCACGTTGATGGGATTCGGCCAACTGAACGTGGGAGGCAGGAAACCCTTGTTGAACAGCTGATTCCTCCCTGTCCTCCAGATGAGGCGTGAACCTCTCCGTATCTCAGTAGGAAAAGTGTGCTTTATTTAGTCGCTTCCTCAGGCATTTTTCATTAATACGCTCCACATCTGTAGTTACTCCCCATTTATTGTGTACGGCTTGTCTTGGATCGGTTATCTTCATGTTTTCTAACTGGCAGCCATTGTCTTAGTAAAACCTTTCTGCCTGTTTTCCATTGCGCAGCTATAAACGTGCTATTGTAATCCAGTGGTTTCGATACCAAAATCAACAACTGCTGTAAGGCATGTTCAATTAGGTTGCCAACATGAGGGGAAAATAAATGGGGGGCCAAGTTCCTTAGGCTCCAATAAAATAGCCAAATCAGAGAGACCACTAAAATGATTTCACATAATCAAGACCGTAACCTCAACGGTCTACTGAGGACAGAGCTGTTACGAGGGAATTTCCACCAAGTTACATACGTGATCAACATGCATGTGCAAATATTTGTCCATTTTGAGGCTTTTCCAGCTCTTCTGTGCAGCCTTTTTTTAATCACTGGTGTTACCCCAAGAAAACACAACACTTATGAGTTAAATAAGGCGACATTCAGCTAGACTGAATAACTTGGACCGGGTGCCTGACAAAGCCTTGTTAAATAATTCCATTCATTCCTTCCTTGTCACAGTGGCACAAGTCAGGAACTGATAACCCTTCCTAATAAATTCACCATGCAGGCTGTCAGCATGATTTGCAAAGATGCTGACAGAAAGGGCAAAGCATGTGAGGGTTTATGTACATGCAGTTTTTCTGGCATCAAAAAAATAGCAATGCATCAATGCAATTCAACCCTTAACTGCATCACCATCAAACAATGCAGTTCTGTATGAACTTCAAGCATTTCTATAAAAATAAATGACCCCAATTCTTGGGGTAGCCATAAGATCGTGAGGTGTGAAACGGTATCTTCTGCATGCTGGTTGCAACCAAAAGTCAAAGTGCAAACACTAAAGATGTAAAGACTATCAATGCATCGCAATTGTTGAGCAGAGAGAAATCAAAGATTTTACCAGAGTTTGATGTGCACGGAGCTGGACTCAATAATGAGTAAAATCCCCCTCACTCACACTGTCTGGCGTCCCATGGTCAGGGCTGTGCAGAGCGCAGAGTTGGAGGAGGTGGGTTTGAGGACGCTGCAGACTTGCAGATGTGAGCCTGCCCTCTCCATTCACCTTCCAAATCCCCCTCTCTCTCTCTCTCTCTCTCTCTCTCTCTGTCTTGATACAGAAGGCACAGATAAGGAGAACTGCACTAAATAGAGAAGGAGTCAGCCCCCTTTTTGTGAAAGCAGAAGGAAAGTTATAGTAATTCCGATACTCGTCCAAGGTTCGCATTGTGTATGACAGCTGCGAGGATAAATATTGTGAGGGGGGTTTTAGGAATGTAGATAAAGGAACATGCGTTCACATTCTCGTGATGTGGAAAGCTGTTGCCTGTTGCTTTGTACAGTGTTTTTAGTTTTCAGATTGATTTTATTTTCCCTAAATAAAGATACAGGAGCTGTCACTTTTCAAAAGGTACATCATTGTACCTGAAGGGTCCATAATGGTACCTCAGAGGTATTTTTTAGGTACATTTAGGTACTAATATGCACCTTTAAGGTGCCACACTCTCAGAAAAATGGTACAAGTGTTTGTGTGTGTGGTGTTCTGTAATTAATTAATAGCAATAAAGGAATTCTGATTCATGTCTTGAGGCAACTTGTAAATTTGGCTTTAAACTAGTCTGTTTTAGATTGTAATGAACGTTTAGATGGTAAGATTTACAGCTTATCCTTTCTAAAAGAACATTTAGACATCAGACGCAGGTTTATGCTAGCAGGATTGAACGCATGACGATTTATCCTCTCCAGAATATCAGATTTAGTGAAGTGGATTTCTTATTGGAAGCGATAAACGTCTACGATTTGAAAGCTGAACATTTGCATGTTGTGGTTTTGGCATTTGCAAGTTATGAACATTTTCCAGAACATCATTGGGTTTTACTGTGCTATATTGAGCGCAAACTTCTTTTAAATACTCTCTTAAATTGGATCGTTTCAGTCCTGTTATTCATGTGGAACAGTGATGGAGTGTAACTCAGATGTGATCGAATGTAGATGGTCAGTTTAGCTTCATCATATAAAAATCTGGAGCCTCATCCGCATCGTAAATAAAAGCTTGAACATTGTAAAGTGCAGTAGAGCTTTTTGTGCATGAACAAGAACATCCAGTTATTATTATGCAATTGCGATCAGTCATTACTAAATTCAGTCTATATCCTGACAGTAAAATCAAAGAGTTCACTAGATCAAAATGCTATTTGATCTTCACTACCTCTCAAAAGTCTTGTTGTTGATCTCAGTTTTAAGAGCAACAAATAATAACTTAATTTAGCTGATCATTTGGAAAAGTGGCGGAAGGTGGATTTCTCTGCTGAATCAACAGTTGAACTGCATCCCAATCATCACAGATACTGCAGAAGATCTACTGGAACCAACATGGACCACAATTCTCACAGAAATCAGTCAAGTTTGGTAAAGGAGAAATCATGGTTTGGGGTGACATTCAGTATGGGGGCGTACGAGAGATCTGCAGAGTGGATGATCAACATCAACAGCCTGAGGTATCAAGACATTCGTGCTGCCCATTACATTACAAACCACAGGAGAGGGACAATTCTCCAGCAGGATAGCGCTCCTGCTCATACTTCAGCCTCCACATCAAAGCTCCTGAAAGCCAAGAAGGTCAAGCTGCTCCAGGATTGGCCAGCCCAGTCACCAGACATGAACATTATTGAGCATGTCTGGGGTAAGATGAAGGAGGAGGCATTGAAGATGAACCCAAAGACTCTTGATGAACTCTGGGAGTCCTGCTGAACGCTTTCTTTGCCATTCCAGATGACTTTATTGATCAGTGTTTTTAGTCATTGCAGAGATGTTCATTCATTTCATTTTCTTGTTGGCTTAGTCCCTTTATTAAAAAAAGGGGTTGCCACAGCGGAATGAATCGCCAACTTAACCAGCAAGTTTTTACGCAGCGGATGCCCTTCCAGCCGCAACCATACACACACACACACACACCCATAAACTATTTACAATTTAGCCTACCCAATTCACCTGTACCGCATGTCTTCATTCACAGAAACGCCAACTGAGCCGAGGATCGACCCAAGACCTTCTTGCTGTGAGGCGAACGTGCTACCCACTGCGATACCAAATCATCAATTAGAAGTCAAGGTTTTATTTGTTGTTTCTAAAACTTGGATAGACGACAAGACTTTTGTGGTGTATATTTAATGGCATCATGTATTTGAATTAGCTTAACCTTTTTATTCAGGGACTTCAACGGTTCATAGTGACCAAATCTAGCAAAAAATGTACTCATGTTTAGTCCATATGACTTATGCGCTGGATTCAAAGTTTTCTGAACTTTGCAGTATGTTGTTGTTGGCGCAAACTGAAATTTATGCTGTTATTTCTCCAGTGAAGAGCCACTGCCGCCAGAATATGTGAGTGCAATGCTTTGAAAACTCTTACCGTTCATTTTGCTTCCTCACACAAAGCTGGACTTTTATGGGGATTTTTGTAATTTTTGGAGTTTAATAGGAGTCACCACTACGAACTGCGGTTGTTAGGAAATGTAGCCCTACATGGAGATTCTTCATATTATGTTATTCACTTTTTCACAGAAGCTATGGATCTAATATAATAAGGGATTCTTAAGCATCAAAACAGTAAAATTGTAAAATATGTTTCAGAATGCACCCTGCTTATCAATTCTTTCTAGATTTATATATTCTAACTGCTCGCTGTTCATTCATTCATTCTCTTGTCGGCTTAGTCCCTTAATAATCCGGAGTCGCCACAGCGGAATGAACCGCCAAGTTATCCTGCAAGATTTTACGCAGCGAATGCCCTTCCAGCCGCAACCCATCTCTGGGAATCATCCACATTCACACACACACCCATACACTCAAATCCTACTCAATTCACCTGTACCGCATGTCTTTGGACTGTGGGGGAAACCGGAGCACCCGGAGGAAACCCACGCAAACGCAGGGAGAACATGCAAACTCCACACAGAAACGCCAACTGAGCCGAGGCTCGACCCAGCGACCTTCTTGCTGTGAGGAGACAGCACTGCTGCGCCACTGCTTCGCCCCA